TCTCTTTCTCTTTCTCTCTTTCTTTTTCTTTGTTTCTTTCTCTCTCTCTCTCTTTCTTTCTTTCTTCTTTCTTCCTTTATTTCTTTCTCTTTCTTTTTGCAAGATAGAGTCTTGCTTTGTCACCCAGTACAGTGGCATGATCTCGGCTTACTGCAACCTCCACCTCCCAGGTTCAAGAGATTCTCCTGCCTCAGCTTCCCAAGTAGCTGGGACTATAGGTATGTGCCACCACACCCAGCTAATTTTTGTGTTTTTTTCTTTTTTTTTTAGTAGAGATGGGGTTTCACTATATGTCGGCCAGGCTGGTCTCAAACTCCTGACCTCATGTGATCCGCCCGCCTCGGCCTCCCCCAGTGCTGGGATTACAGATGTGAACCACTGTGCCCAGCCAAGCTCAAGCACCTTCTTTTATGTGATTTTTTTTCCCCCCAGCGAAACTTTATCCAGCTTTATTAAAGATGCTTTCCATAAACAGTCATGGCATTTCAGGCAGGACATGGGTAGACAATCATTAACAGTATACAATGACTTTCAAACTCTCTTCTTCAATGGACTACCAAAACATAAAGCCACTTTAAAACCCAATGGAGGGCGGGGCATGGTGACTCACACCTGTAATCCCAGCGCTTTGGGAGGCTGAGATGGGCAGATCACCTGAGGTCAGGAGTTTGAGACCAGCCTGGCCAACATGGCGAAACCTTGTCTCTACTGAAAATACAAAATTATCCAGGCGTGGTGACACACACCTGTAATCCCAGCTACTTGGGAGGCTGAGATGAGGCAGGAGAATCGCTGGAACCTGGAAGGTGGAAGCTGCAGTGAGCTGAGATTGCACCATTGCACTCCAGCCTGGGTGACAGAGCAAGACTCTGGCAAAAAAAATAGAATATTCATTTGATTCTCTGAACCAGAAAGTTTAGGGTGAGGGTTGACATTTCACATTTAGCATGTTGCTTAACATGAGCCGACCCTGACTTTCAGGAAGTGAAGTGAAAATGGCAGAATCTGTCTGAAGATGCACAATCTAGAAATTGAACCACTGCTCTTTTGAGGAACCCCATCTCAGTGGCCTCACTGGAAGTCCAGATTGCCTGACACTGGTAACCAACTCATAGGGATCAGGCCCCAACAGATGTCTGGGTTTAATGGAGTTAAGTTTATGCTGAAGATGGAAAGGGAGAAGAGGACATAAAAACAAATTTGTTTTTCCATACCACAGGCTCTTGTGCCAAAGTGTCTGTGTTTGTCAAAGTCAGGGAATCCCTCCTCCTGGGAGCCAAGAGGAAGCCTCTCAAAAGTAGAAGGGAAGACCAGCCTGGCCAACATGGTGAAACCCCTTTTCTACTAAAAATGCAAAAATTAACCACACATGGTGGTGCATGCCTGTAATTTCAGCTACCGCTTGAATCCCAGAAGTGGAGGTTGCAGTAAGCCGAGATCATGCCATTGCACTCCAGCCTGGGAGACAGAGCAAGACTCCATCACACGCGTGCATACACACACAAACACACACTCATAGAAAACTAAAAGGGAAAGGTGTTTCTCCCACATCAATCCAGCTTCAAGACAGTCTATTAGTGACAGTGACAGGCATCTGATCTCCAGAAAACAACAATGAAGTGCACTGTGTGCTAACAAAATACCTTAAAAAAAAAAGAAAACCAAATTCTGCATTTTTATAAAACTTGATAAAAATAGTATTCAAACTGTAGTGTCACCAAGTACATAGTTATCACAAATGCACACTTCACCTGGTCTGTTTAGGCATCTGCATTCTATGCAGGGTTATTCCCCTCCTTGCCAGCATCAGTTCTTCCCCTTTTCCCTTTGGGTACCTTCTCTCCTTTCTTTGCAAGGCCTCCTTAGACTTGGCTTTGGAGAAGCAGATTTAACAGACAACCTTGCAGATCTTCTCTGTGGTTTGTCCTTCACCTTGGCGTTATCTCCTTAGCATCCACTATCTTTCTCTTGGGCAGGGCGGCAGCTACAGCGGGACATAGTCCCTGACTAAGAGATGCAACAGCGCCTGGGTTATAATTGGTCTGGGAGTTGTTCTTGCCTCTTCTTCACACTGCTCCTTTATGTAATCTTGCAGAAGGAACCTACCCTGTATGTGCCTCAGTTTCCTTATCTATAAATGGAAATAATGATCTTACTTGGGGGTTTAAGGTTAAACGAATTAAGGTATATGGAAGTATTTTTAAAAATTTATGTAGAGAACCAGTGTATCAAGCTTGGAATTATACATAAAAAATTACTGGCCTGGCACAGTGGCTCACGCCTGTAATCCCAGCATTTTGGGAGGCCAGGGCAGGCAGATCACTTGTGGTCAGGAGTTCAAGACCAGCCTGGCCAACACAGCGAAACTCCATCTCTACTAAAAGTGTTTTAAAAATTAGCCAGTAGTGGTGGTGCACACCTGCAATCTCAACTACTCGGGAGGCTGAGGCAGGAAAATCTCTTGAACCTGGGAGGTGGAGGTTGCAGTGAGCCAAGATTGCACCTGGGCAACAGAGCAAAACTCCATTAAGAAAAAAAAAAAAGAAGAAGAAAAATAGCTAGAAGGAAGGGGTAGGAACAAAGGCATATATGGCGTTCTAAGTAAAAGGAGAAATGTTCCATCTAGTTGCTACTGAATCATTCATATGTCACTGTGCAGTATTCGACTTCTAGAGATAGGGTCTATGCTTGACTTGGCTTGCCAGGTGCTCACGCCTTCGGCAGGAGTTGCTAGGCACCTTGATTGAGGTTCCACTAAGACTACATGTAATGTAAGAGGTATGGTTTCTGCAGAGCAAAAGCAGGATGCTATTACAAGAAAGAGGATGGCTGCTGGCCAGGTATAAACAACAAGTAGATGTCCAAATCACTGCACAAGTGAGCATCCTGTGTGTGCTTACGCTAATTTGAAAACAGATGCAGAAAATACTTTTACGAATCAATCATGATCCAAACCAAATTCAAACATAATAAGAAATAAAAAACAAAGAGAAAAAAATTGATATTGACTAATATAAATAGGAATTGAAAGAAAAGAATGATTTAGAACTGCCCATTACTAAAGTTTATCATGAGCAAGTATTTAAATACTACCTAAATGCCCATTAACAATAGAATGATAGATAAATTTGGGTGTATTCATACAACAGACTTCACAAAATTAGAATGGGCAATCTCAACTACGGACAACAATATGGGTGAATCTTTTAACCATAATATTGAAAAGGAGACAAAGAATACATATTAGAGGATTCCATTTATAAAACGTACAGAAACAGGCAATCTTTGTTATTACAAGTCAGTGATTAACACCACCAAGGATAGTAAGCAGGGATGTGAAAGCTGCAGTCTATAGACTGGTACCATGTTTGATAAGTATATTATAATTTTTATATGTTAAAATACATGAAGAAAAAAGTCAATGATTACCTTGGAGGGGTTAGAATTGTGTCTGGAGGCTGGGCACATGGCTCACACCTGTAATCCCAGCACTTTGGGAGGCTGAGGCAAGTGGATCACCTGAAGTCAGGAGTTCGAAACCAACCTGACCAACATGGTGAAACCCCATCTCTACTAAAAATACAAAATATTGACCAGCCATGGTGATGGGTGCCTGTAGTCCCCGCTACTCCGGCTGAGGCAGGAGAATTGCTTGAACCCAGGAGACAGAGGTTGCAATGAGCTGAGATTGTGTCACTGCACTCCAGCTTGGGCAACAAGAGCAAGACTCCATCTCAAAAAGCCAAAACAAAACAAAACAACAACAACAAAAAAGAATTGTGGCTGGAAAGGAAACAGGAGGTGAGAAATTGTTTGGTTTTGAAATTTCATTGAACTGTATGCTTATGATATAAGAACTTTTCAGTATCATATACTTAACTGACTTTTGACATGTATTAATACACCCAAATAGATATTATGTGCTGAGTAGTTTAAGAGGCATTAGGTCATGCTGATGTGTATAAATTACCTAAATGCTCATTTTTTTCTGTGTTCATGGAGCCTTCAACAATCCCTATAAATAGGTCAGAATTTTCTGGAAATGTTGATTATGTTAAGGTTTCATAATGAGCTCCTTTAAATAAATCAGAGAACATATTTCTTGACTTGGAGGACATTCCTATTAGTGGTCATTTTAATTAGCTAATTTTCTATATCTGGGGATGACTTTAAAATTTATTTGATGCTGGGTGTGGTGCTTGCACCTATAGTCCAAGCCATTTGGGACGCTAAGCAGGGAAGATCTCTTGAGCCCAGGAGTTTGAATCCAGCCTAAGAAACACAGCGAGACCCTGGGTCTTGAAAGAAAGAAAAAGAAACAGAGGTGGGGAGAGAGGGAGGGAGAGAAAGAGAGAGAAAAGAGAGGGAGGGAGGGAGGGAGGAAGGAAAGAAGGAAGGAAAGAAGGAAGGAAGGAAGGAAGGAAGGAAGGAAGGAAGGAAGGAAGGAAGGAAGGAGGGAAGGAAGGTGAAGAAGGAGAGAAGGAAGGAGGTGGGGGAGAGAGGAGAGGAGGGAGGAAAGGTGGAGGGGAGGAGAGCAAGAGAGGAGGGGAGGGAGGGAGGGAGGGAGGAAATGGTTTTATAAGAATTATAATGTGTCTGGTATTTTTACTTCCTTGACTTACTGCTACTTTCTTATGTAACATACAAAATGCCACAGAAGAAAGACATATTTTCTCAAGAAATTGAGGTAAAATTCAATCTAGACATTCTTTAAATTATCATTTAAACTTAGTCTATAGGAAAGCTATTTCACCTACTTTGAATTCTTACTTTTCTTGAAATGCGTGAAAGTGCATGTGATGAGAATGTGTGATTCCAAAGAAGTCTTGCTGGGAAGGTAAGCAATTGGGAGGTGTAGGGGGCAAGCGGACCTGTAATTTGGTAGTACGGCTCATGGAGTATAAGGTGCCATTAAATTACAGTTTACACAAATGAACACACAATGGTGGCTCCTTATACCTTTCAAGGAAAGTGATGTATTTTTGGTTTGTTTGGAGTAGATTCTGCCGTTCCTGTATTGCTACCAGTCTAAAGAACAACAAGTGGACTTGTCCTTATTGCCGGGCATATCTTCCTTCAGGAGGCGTTCCAGCAACTGATGTAGCCAAAAGGATGAAATCAGAGTTTAAGAACTGCACTGAGTGTAACACCCTGGTATGTGACCCGCCTATGTTCATGGCTACCAGCTTAAGTCCCTGAGAAAGTTATCATTTCACCTCTGCTTCTGACCCCATGGTACTACCCACCTTTTCTTTTCTGCTTTTTGTTGTTGTTGTTGTTGTTGTTGTTTTTGAGACGGTATCTGGCTCTGTCATCCAGGCTGGAGTGCAGTGGCGTGATCTCGGCTCACTGCAACCTCAACCTCCCAGGTTCAAGCGATCCTCCTGCCTCAGCCTCCCAAGTAGCTGGGACTATAGGTGTGTGCTACCACGTCTGGCTAGTTTTTTGTATTTTTAGTAGAGATGGGATTTCACCGTATTAGCCAGGATGATCTAGATCTCCTGACATCATGATCTGCCCGCCTCGGCCTCCCAGAGTGCTGGGATTAAAGGCACGAGTCACTACCCCTGGCCTGGTACCCACCTTTTCTAAAGTGCTTTATTTCAGCCTCCTCACTTTCTTTTCTTTCTTGTCACAGAGTCTTGCTCTGTCACCCAGGCTGGAATGTAGTTGTACTATCTTGGCTCACTGCAGCCTCTGCCTCATGGGTTCAAGTGATTCTCATACCTCAGCCTCCTGAGTAGCTGGGACCACAGGCATGGGCCACCATGCCTGGCTAATTTTTTGTCTTTTTAGTAAAGACAGGGTTTTGCTGTGTTAGGTAGGCTGGTCTCAAACACCTGGCTTCAAGTGATCTGCCCACTGTGGCTTCCAAAGTGCTGGGATTATAGGTGTGAGCCATCTCACCCAGCCTCCAGTTTCATACACACACACACACACACACACACACACACACACTCTTTAAAAAAAAAATTTTTTTTTCAAGACGGGGTTTTACACCATGTTGGTCAGGTTGGTCTTGAACTCCTGACCTCAGGTGATCCAGCCTCCTTGGCCTCCAAAGTGCTTGGATTACAGGCATGAGCCACCATGCCCGGCCAACTTTTTTTTTTTTTGAGATGGACTCTTGCTCTGTCACCAGGCTGGAGTGCAGTGGTGCAATCTTGGCTCACTTCCACCTCCGCCTCCCGAGTAGCTGGGACCACAGGCACGTGCAACCATGCCCGGCTAATTTTTGTGTTTTTAGTAAAGATGGGGTTTCACCATGTTGGCCAGAATGGTCTCGATCTCTTGACCTCTTGATCCACCCGCCTCAGCCTCCCAAAGTGTTGGGATTACAGGTGTGAGCCACCTCACCCGGCCTCATATATATATATATATATATATATATATTCTGCAAAAAACCCTGAACTCCTACCATCACCCCCAATTTGTCAAACAAGTGCTCTTATTGACCACCTCTGTTTTCCTTCTTCCTATTACTCCAGTAACCCTCTATCATATGTCCTCCAATTCTGCTACTCTATTTCAGGCCACCAATGAACAGCTTTATTATCAAATCTGGTGACATATTTCTACCAGGCTGGAGTGCAGTGGTGTGATCTTGGCTCACTGCAACCTCCGTCTCCTGGGTTCAAGCAATTCTCGTGTCTCAGACTCTCTAGTAGCTGGGATTACAGGGGCCTACCACCGTGTCTGGCTAATTTTTGTATTTTTAGTAGACATGGGGTTTCATCATGTTGGCCAGGCTGATCTTGAACTCCTTACCTCAGGCAATCTGCCTGCCTCGGTCTCCCAAAGTGCTGGGATCACAGGCGTGAGCCACCATGCCCAGCACAGGCTTTTTTATCTTTAAGATATGACTCTAACATATGCATAGAAAATGGTTTGCAGTAGGGCAAAAATGAAATTGGTGAAACCAGTTAGGTGGCTATTATGATGTCAGGAAGCTGGATTAGGGTGATAGCATTAGATGTGGAATAATGATGCAGAATTATTCTTGCCTACTTTGCTAGCCAGGGACCTCCATAGCCAGCAATGACCCCATCCAGGCCTTGCTTGGCCTAGGAGACTCTCCCCACCCACTCTGCCCACTAGACCATGCCTGGTTTATGCACTGGCTTGGCAGACATCTGGTCCAGGCATACCACAGCCCACCTGTGTTTGGTGATTCCCAAGTTCTTGTCCCACATCTAAGAAAAATGAGGTTATGCTGACAATTGAATGGTGAGAAGGATGGAGAAGAGTTTTATTAAGCAATTTTCAGCTCTCCGCAGAGAAGGGGCATGAGGTTCCCCACCGATAGTTGTGTGGTCTCTTTCTCCCAGTATGGCTGGGTCCAGGGGTTTTATGGGTTCAGAATGGGGGAGTGCATGCTGATTGCTTTGTGAGTATGCAAAAGAGGCTAAAACAAAGGCAGCATTCGAAGGTGGGCATGACAGTATATTTAAAAAAACCAGTTAGGGAAGGGTAGGTATATGTAAAAGAGGTGAAAGGTGAGTATTAATCAGAGGAAAGCACACCAAAGGGGAAGAGAGGTCCTCAACCCCATCCATGGATTTAACTTGTAGCTTGGCTTTCAGGCTTTAAACTGTCTTTGGCCTGAAGGTCAGGTTTCACCAAGGACTCGCCCCTGTCTACCTAGGGATTTGTCAGGCTCCTGCCACTATCAGTAAGAGGTTTCAAGTATATTTAGGAGATAGAATAGAAATAAATTGATAATTGACTGGATGTAGGGCTGAGTGAGAGGAAAGTGTCAAAAATGCCTCCCAGGCATTCAGATGTGAATAAATGAGGATGCTCATATGGGGAACAAATTTGGAGAACACAGAGTTAAGTTTTAGATATGTTAAGTTTGGAACTACCAAGGAAAGATACTGGAAAAGTATTTAGATAATACCAGTCTAAAAATCAAAAGAAGGACTGTGGCCAGGCACCGTGGCTCATGCCTGTAATCCCAGCACTTTGGGAGGGCGAAGTGGGCAGAGCATGAGGTCAGGAGTTTGAGACCAGCCTGGCCAGCATGGGGAAGCTTCATCTCTACTAAAAATACATAATTATCCAGCTATTGTGTCAAATGCCTGTAATCCCAACTACTCATGAGGCTGAGGCAGAAGAATCTTTTGAACCCAGGAGGTGGAGGTTGCAGTGAGCCAAGATCATGCTACTATACTCCACCCAAGGTGGCAGAATGAGACTTCGTCTCAAAAAAAAAAAAAAAAAAAAGAGGGATTGTGTACTAAGCGTCTACATTTCTTTAGAGAACCTTTCTTAATAATTCATCTAAACTCTAGCCCTGTCATACTGTCTCTCAGCACCCTGTGCTTTCCCATACACCGCTTATCACCATTTATAATTCTGCTTTTGGGCTGTTTTTTGTTTAATGTCAGTTACGTTCATTCCATTTGAATGCCATGAAGGTAAAGGCTCTATTTGTTGACAATCTGTGTAGCCAGCACTTTGAAAAGTGACTGGTACATATTAAGTGCTCATTGCATTCCTGAATATTTATAGACTCAATAACCTATTCGTTAGATATCTATTTATTAGATTTGATTATAGAGCCTTATATCTGATTGTAGAATTTGTTCATGGTTTTTGGAATTAGACCTCTTAGCTCAAACTGATTCTAATTCTCTCACTTACTCTTTGTAATTTTGGGTAAGTTATTAATCTGAGTATTTGTTTACCGTTTTGCAAAATGAAGAGAAAGAGTCTGGTACAGTGGCTTATGCCTGTAATCCCAGCACTTTGGGAGGCCAAGGCAGGAGGATTGCTTGAGCTCAGGAGTTCAAGATCAGCCTGGGAAGAGACTGTGTTTCTACTAAAAATCAAAAAAATGAGCTGGGGCATAGTGGTGCATGCGTATAGTCCCAACCACTTCGGAGACTGAGGCAGGAAGATTGCTTGAGCCCAGGAGATCAAGGCTGCAGTGACTACGCCACTGTACTCCAGCCTAGGCAACACAGCAAGACTCTCTCGACAAAAAAGAGGAGCTGAGGAGAGGATCATGCTCATGTTCATGTTAGAGAGTGATTTTAAAGATAAATGCTAAATATATATTGATATATATGACTGATTATTGGCTTTTTAAATTTTTTATTATTTTTTATAGAGACAAAGTTTCTTTTTTTAAAAAAAAAAAAATAAAGACAGGGTTTCACCATATTGGTCAGGCTGGTCTTGAACTCCTGACCTCAGGTGATATACCTGCCTTGGCCTCCAAAGTGCTTGGATTACAGGCATGAGCCACCATGCCCAGCCTGATGTTTGGCTTTTAACACAGTGTCTGGAATATAGTAAGTGCTCAAAATCAATGGCTTTTTACATTCTTAATAATAGATCATTGCTTATTTTTACTTAGTTTGTCTTCACATAAGATTCATACACAAGGCCAGGTGCGGCGGTTCACATCTGTAATCCCAGCATTTTGGGAGGCTGAGACGAGTGGATCACCTGAGGTAAGGAGTTCAAGACCAGCCTGACCAACATGGTGAAACCCCATTTCTACTAAAAAAAAAAACAAAAAATAAAATAAATTTGATGGGCATGGTGGCAGGCACCTGTAATCCCAGCTACTTGGGAGGCTGAGGCAGGAGGATCGATTGAACTTGGGAGGCAGAGGTTGCAGTGAGCCCAGATTGCTCCATTGCACTCCAGCCCTGGTAACAAGAGCAAAATTCCGTCTCAAAAAAAAAAAATCATACACAAAATCAAACTGAAACTCATCATATTCTTTCATCATCCAGTTCTTGATCCCACCTTTGTGTCTGTCAGAAACAAGAGGATTCTCTCAATTATCCTGTGTGGAAATCCTCTTTTTTTCACCACTTTCCCCTCCCCCATTATCTGTTAAATCACAAAGATTTTGATTTTTTATTTGAGATACTTTTTTTTTTTTTTTGAGACAGAGTCTCACTGTGTTGCCAGGATGGAGTGCAGTGGAGTATAATGTTGGCTCACTGCAACCTCCGCCTCCTGGGTTTAAGTGATCTCGTGCCTCAGCCTCCCGAGTAGTGGAGACTACAGGCGTGCACCACTTTGCACAGCTAATTTTTGTACTTTACCAACGGGATTTCACCACATTGGCCAGGCTGGTCTTGAACTCCTGACCTCAGATGATCTGTCCACTTCAGCTTCCCAAAGTGCTAGGATTATAAGCATAAGCCACTGTGTCTAGCCTTGAGATACGTCTTATATCCTGTCTTTTCCTTTCTGTGTTACCCCTCTTTCTAGGAATGCTCCCCATTCCTTCTATACCCATTTTGCACTCTCCCTATCCTTCAGAGTCCAGGCCAGATCCATTCCTTGAGGCCTTGTCTTAGTATTCCAGTTCACTATATCAAATATTTTTTTATTTTAGATGGAGTCTCGCTCTGTTGCCCAGGCTGGAGTGCAGTGGTGTGATCTCAGCTCCCTGCAACCTCCGCCTCCCGGGTTCAAGCAATTCTCCTGTCTCAGCCTCCCAGGTACCTGGGACTACAGGTGCGCACCACCACACCCCACTAATTTTTGTATTTTTAGTAGAGAGGGGGTTTCACCATGTTGGTCAGGCTGGTCTTGAACTCCTAACCTTAGGTGATCCACACACTTTAGCCTCCCAAAGTGCTGGGATCACAGGTGTGAGCCACCACACCCAGCCCCTATATCAAACAATTTCTTTTATACTTGTCTACACATCCTTTTTCCTCTGTTAGATTAAAAGCCACGTTAGAACAGGCACAATGGATTGTGTTTCTTCTGCCATTTCTTATAATGTCTCAGTTAATTTTGTGTCTAGACTATGAATTGATCAATTCATTTGTCGGTAGATAGTCCACAGCTTGTTAATTTTCATGACTAATGCTTATCTTTGTTGAACAAAGAATACAAATAGAACTTTTTACTAGCAAAAGTCATAAAGACATGAGAGAATGCTAATGTGCAAAGTTGGATGTTAAAGATTGTCAAATACATTTGTTTAAGACAGTTTATTTAGCTCAATCCTAGTTTTTTTTTTTTATATCTTTTAGGTGGATATTGGTAACGCAAGGGTTTTGTTCTTACTTTTTCACTTGCTTTTATTTTTGCCTTTTGTTAAACAATTATAACTGTTTCCTCAACATGGCAGATTTCATGTTTGAGGTTTAACTTCCGTAGTTTGGGCAAAATGAAGCAGAGTGGGTCGGCCACCTTACCACAGCTGTACAAAGCTTCCTTTAGCACAAGATCTTATCAAGAGTTTCTAATGAAACATTTAGTGGAATGTGTTATGTTAGCAACAGATCCCTCATGGTTGGGATCTCTGAATGTATATCTGAAAGAACAAGGGCTCTTTATTCTACATTGATAAAAACGGACTGCAAGAGCTGTCTTTTATGTTTGCTCTTAATGGCACCACTAAGTATACTGTGTATTGTGAATTCGTGTCATATTATTGGGTGTGCTATAAAACCATGGTATTTATATCTTTCCCTAAGGCACAGTGTTTCATTTAACTTAGTATAGCCACCTCTAAAATTTATCCATTTATTCTTCTTATCTCTCTGTTTCTTCTTTCTGTCTCTTTTTCCATCTTAAATTGTTTCTTCTTTCCTCGCTCTTGTGCTCTTTTTCTTCAACCGTTTTTTTTCCCCTCACTTCCTTCTTTCTAAAACCTGTTTATGTAATGGCATGCAAAAGAAGTAAATCTAAGTTACTACACACCTATCTACTTTAAAAATTGTATATGCTTTTAAGAAAAACCAAATTCAAGAACTTAACAGTTGGGTCTTCTAAGTGTTGGAGAGATCGAAAATAGTAGTATTCTGGATAATGCCTTAACTTTTGGTGATACTGGTGTCATGAATGCGTCTATTTAGTCAATTGATCCCACAATACGACCTTATTTGAAAGTTAAAAGGGTGCATTGCATAAGCTTTCATTGAGTCCCCTTTTTTAACAGTGAGTTTATTTTGAATTTGTTTTTATATAGGTTTGCCTCAGTGAAATGAGGGCACATATTCGGACTTGTCAGAAGTACATAGATAAGTATGGACCACTACAAGAACTTGGGGAGACAGCAGCAAGGTTTGTTTGAATACAATATAGTTTAATGCCAAAATTGATATATTTATAAATAATTAAATGAGCTGAAAACTTTAACATTCTTATTATGAAAATATTTACATTTTTGTTTAGGTTCTTAACTATGATATCTGGTACTGGTCATCATTTGTTGATAGCAATCATTGTCAAAGAATTTTGCACTCTCTACTCTAAAAATTTCTTGAGGGAAACCAACCACACGTTGAAGAGATTGGGGCAACTTCCTCAAACAAGTTTGGTTAACACAGATCCAGAAATAGAATGCAGAACTGTTACATTTCTGCTAGTCTTTGTTTTCTGATAGATTCCTGAAATAGGTCATCTTTGGGATGATCCATCGTCTGTCATCACTGCTGATTTCACCAGCTCATTCCTTATCATTTTGCTTGTTTCTCTTGAGAAGATAGACAGCAGCATCTCAGTATACAAGAGGAAAACAGGCTGGGCAGACATCCTGAATCCTTTGCCTTTTTGATAGGTAATCTTGTATGGGGGTAGGGGAAGGATGGAGGTAGCTGGTAGACGTAATGGAGGATATTAATCATTAACTATTTTATTTTATTTTATTTTTTTGAGACGGAGTTTTGCTGATTGTTACCCAAACTGGAGTGCAATGGCACGATCTCGGCTCACCGCAACCTCCGCCTCCTGGGTTCAAGTAATTCTCCTGCCTCAGCCTGCCGAGTAGCTGGGACTACAAGCGCGCACCACCATGCCCAGCTAATTTTTGTATTTTTAGTAGAGACAGGGTTTCACCTTGTTGAACAGGATGGTCTCGATCTCTTGACCTCGTGATCCACCCGCCTCGGCCTCCCAAAGTGCTGGGATTATAGGCGTGAGCCACCGTGCCCGGCCTATTTTATTCTTTAAAAAAAAAAAGAAAAAGAAGCACTGGCAGGGCACGGTGGCTCACATCTGCAATTCCAGCACTTTGGGAGGCTGAGGCGGGCAGATCACTTGAGGTCAGGAGTTTGAGACCAGCCTGGGCAACATGGCAAAGCCTCATCTCTACTAAAAATACAAAACATAGCTGGGCGTGGTGAAGCACACCTGTAATCCCAGCTATTCCAGAGGCTGAGGCACATGACTTGCTTGATCCAGGGAGGCAGAGGCTGCAGTGAGCTGAGATCTGGCCGCTGCACTCCAGCCTGGGTGGCAGAGCAAGACTCTGTCTCAAAAAAGAAAGAAAGAAAGAAAGAACGAAAGAGAGAGAGAGAGAGAGAGAGAGAGAGAGAGAGAGAGAGAGAAATAAATAAATAAATAAATCTAGGTCATTACTCTATTGATGAGAAAGGTAACTTAGCTGCATCGAGTAATTCTAAAGTTTGTAATCTGCCCCTACTAACCAAAAAAAGTGATTTGTGCTCTCTAGCATTGCTGTCTTTCCAGCCGTTAATCTGCCTGCGGATTCATGCATCCAATATTGGTATATGCTTTGGGTATAATCTCTCTCTCTCAAAGAAAAATGTTAGCTCTGCTCATTTTTAGAAAATATACTCAAAATATAGCTTACACTTCTAAACCTTAGAGTCTAAACAATCACCCCATTCCTTTTGTTTTACTAGAGAGTGCCTTGTAAAAGTGCCTGTTATTCTAAGATTAGCTTTATACCCTGACATTATAAATTTTAAATGAGTATTTTAGCTATAAACAGTGTATGAATCCTGTTATATTGACCACAATGACCAATAGGAAGGAAGGATTACAAATAGGTTGAGAAAGTGTATGGGTTTGATTGCAAGGTGGACAGCTCTTATGAAAATTTAAAAATACGTGAAAGCTAATTTGAATCTTAATTTCTTCTACTGATTAGAATTAAATAATAAATAATTAATAGAAAATGGGGAGGGTTATTGATTAATCAATTTTATGAGATAAATTAATATTTGCATTTATGCTAAAAATATTTGCTTTACAGAAGAATTTACCACATAATTCAAATTTTAAAAAATTCTTACATGTGGAGCTTGTCCAAAGAACAAGTTTTGGGGCGGACAGGAAGCTACACCTGTAATAGAAAGTGAGCAAACAACTCCAAGACTCCATATCGTCCTTAAGAACTTAAGGCAGTATTGTCCGATAGAAATCTACTGTAAATCACATGTAATTATAAATTTTCTAGTAGTGACATTTAAAAAAATAAGAAGATAAAATTTAAATTACCTTTCATTATATTTTATCTAACCTAATATTGCCAGAATATTATCATTTAAACATGTAATTGGTATAAAAATTATCAAGATATTTTACATTATTTTTTTCTCTTTACACTAAACCCTCAAAATTCAATGTGTATATTATACATCCAGTGTATCCAATTTTTTTTTTTGTTTTTTGAGACAGAGTTTCACTCTTGTTGCCCAGGCTGGAGTGCAATGGTACGATCCCAGTTTACTGTAAGCTCCACCTCCTGGGTTCAAGTGATTCTCCTGCCTCAGCCTCCTGAGTAGCTGGGATTACAGGCACCTGCCACCATGCCCAGCAAACTTTGTTTTATTTTTAGTAGAGAAGGAATTTCACCATGTTGGCCACGCTGGTCTCGAACTCCTGACCTCAGGTGATTCACCCACCTCAGCTTCCCAAAGTGCTGGGATTACAGTCATGAGCCACTGCACTTGGCTATATATCTGAATTTGGACTAGCCATATTTCAAGTGCCCAGTGGACACATCTTGGACAGCACAGATAAGGGACAAATATTCCTAAGTGTACATAAGGATTTAACAAGGTAGCTGCAGGTCACTTTTCTTTTTCTTTTCTTTCTTTTTTTTTTTTTTTTTTTTTTTCCTGAGAGGGAGTCTTGCTCTATCACCCAGGCTGGAGTGCAATGATGCAATCTCAGCTCACTGTGACCTCCACTTCCTGGGCTCAAGTGATCCTCTTGTCTCAGCCTCCCAAGTAGCTCAGATCACAGGTGTGTGCCACCACACTAATTTTTTGTACTTTTAATAGAGGTTTTACCATGTTTCCCAGGCTGGTCTCAAACTCCTGAGCTCAAGCGATCTGCCCACCTTGGCTTCCCAAAGTGCCGAGATTATGGCCGTCAGCCATCTTGCCCAGACTGCAGGTCACTTTTCATTCTTCACTGGAAACTAACAACATAGGTTGACGCATGTAGTTATATGCTAGTGAAGTTGGAAAACAAATAACACCCCATCTAAATGTTATGTGAATTTGGAAAGGGAGGAAGAAAAAGGTAATCTAAAGACAATTGTGTGCTGCAATCCTCAGTTTCTCAGTTAATGCATGCTCAGATTGCACTTCTCTCCCAAAAAGAATCATCTGTTTCATGTGTATGGTCATGTTTTTCAGCCCTGTCCCTGTGAGGACACACATTTACATTTCTCATGAGAAAAAAATGTAGGCACCAACAGTGTTAACAGTTTGGGAAAAACACTGTCAAATCAGATAAACAAATAGGTCTAGAGACTATATCCCCACCTACATTCTGCTTTTTAATCTTTAGTTAAGTGAATACTATGGGCTGGATGTGGTGGCTCATGCCTGTAATCCCAGCACTTTGGGAGGCTAAGGTGGGTGGATCTCTCCAGGCCAGGAATTTCAGACTAGCCTGGCCAACATGGCGAAATCCTGTCTCTACTAAAAATAAAAATCCAAAGATTAGCCTGGTGTGGTGGGGGGGGGGGGCCTGTAATCCTAACTACTTGGGAGGCTGAGGCAGAAGGATTCCTTGAATCTGGGAGGTTGAGGTGGCAGTGAGCCAAAATTGTACCACTACACTCCAGCCTGCACCACAGAGCAAGACAATGTCTCAATAAAAAAAAAAAAAAAAAAAAAAGGAAAAGAAAGTGACTACTATCTAGTTGCCAACCATTTTAGTAATATTTGTATTCTGTTATTTCCAGGTGTGTATGTCCCTTTTGTCAGAGGGAACTGGATGAAGACAGATTGCTGGATCATTGTATTACTCATCACAGATCTGAACGAAGGCCTGTGGTAAGGATTTTTGTTACATGTATTACATCAATGTCTGAATTCTGGACACATTAGAAAAGCCATTTAATGGATTTCTATTTATAGATACATTATAAGGATAATAATTTATGTTAAGGTTATGGTAACTCTGTGACTGTTTACAGTATGTGAAAGTGTTGAGTTGAGCCAGGGGTGGTGGCTCATGCCTGTAGTCCCAGCACTTTGGGAAGCTGAGGCAGGTGCATCATGGGGTCAGGAGATTGAGACCACTCTGGCTAACACAGTGAAACCTAGTTTGAACTAAAAATACCAAAAATTAGCTGGATGTGGTGGCACATGCCTGTAGTCCCAGCTACTCGGGAAGCTGAGGCAGGAGAATCACTTGAACCTGGGAGGTGGAGGTTGCAGTGAGCCGAAATCGCACCACCGCACTCCAGCCTGGGCAACAGAGCAAAACTCTATCTCAGAAAGAAAGAAAAAAAAAGTGTTGTTGAAACTGATAAGAATGACTAATGTGCAATCACTCATTTATGAAATTACACATTATCTCTAACAGGTAATCATGGGCATAATCAACAAAAATGATCCAGAATGCACAGTTAAGATCTAAGTTTATCAGCCTGGCCAGTATGGTGAAACCCCATCTCTACTAAAAATGCAAAAATTAGCTGGGAGCATTGGTGGGTGTCTGTAATCCCAGCTACTAGTGACTGAGGTGGAAGAATCGCTTGAACCTGGGAGGCGGAGGTTGCAGTGAGCCAAGGTGGCACCACTGCACTCCAGCCAGTAAAACAAAGCAAGGCTCTGTCTCAAAAAAAAAAAAAAAAAATCTAAGTTTAGTACACTAACTATGGTTATAGCCTATGTTTCAGACATTTTAAAATAATGCAAATAGTGTTATTATGACAATATACTGGAAACAAAAAGTAGTCATTCATCTTCATTGATGTGTTGTTTTATTCAGTTAATAGTTATCCATATGTTTGCATAGTAAATGTACATATTGCTTATCATTTCCTAGATTCATTGCAAATCCTGTTTTTTTCTTTTCAGCCTGGCATTTTAGTTCTCCTTTGCAGAGTGGCTTTTATAATTTTTATTTTGGTAGAGTTGTTAGGTAAGGCAAAGTGGATACATTATTGTTTACTTAGGCTATTTATTTTACTTTTATTTATTTTTATTACTTTTATTTTTTATTTTTTTTGAGACAGAGTTTCCTCTTGTTGCCCAGGCTGGAGTGCAATGGCACGATCTCGATTCACTGCAACCTCCTCCTCCTGTGTTCAAGCAATTCTCCTTCCTCAGCCTCCTCAATAGTTGGGATTATAGTTGGGTGCCACCACATCCAGCTAATTTTTTGTGTTTTTAGTAAAGAAGGGGTTTCATCATGTTGGCCAGGCTGGTCTCGAACTCCTGACCTCAGGTGATCCACCCCTCTTGGCCTCTCAAAGTGCAGGGATTATAGGCATGAGCCACTGTGCCTGGCTAGAGATTTTTTCTTTTTTTTTTTTTTTAAAGATGGGGTTTCACCATGATGGCCAGGCTGGTCTTGAACTCCTGACGTCAGGTCATCCACCCACCTCAGCCTCCCAAAGTGCTAGGATTACAGGCGTGAGCCACTGTGCCCAGCTGGAGATTTTTTAATACCTTTTGAAATGTACTTTTAAAGTGCTTTCCAAAAAGTTCTGAGTCAATTTATATTTGTGTCAGCAATCTGTGAGTAAACCACTTTTACCTTAATCTGACCATAATTGGGAACATTTATTTTTAATTACCCTGGCTGAACAAATATAAAATGATACTTTGAGGATTATTTTACATAGTATGTAGTTTTATTTAATATATACACAAATGTGTGTGTTTTTTTTAAATATGAGTTTTTAGGGGTTTTTTTAGTTTTAGAGTTTTTTCCATAAAATCCTTTCAGAAAGTGGATGAGATTGAATTATAAGTATATTAGACAGGTAGATAGATAGATAATAGATAGATATTAGAGAATAAAGAGATGGAAAGATGGATACAGCCGGATGTGGTGGCTCACACCTGTAATCCAGCACTTTGGGAGGACAAGATGGAGTGATTACTTGAGGCCAGGAGTTTGAGACCTACCTGACCAACATGGTGAAACCCCATCTCTACTACTAAAAATACAAAAATTAGAAAGGCATGGTGGCATGCACCTTCAGTCCCAGCTACTTGGGAGGCTGAGGTGGGAGGATTATTTGAGCTTGAGGGCACAGAGGTTACAGTGAACCAGGATTGTGCCACTGCACTCCAGCCTGGGTGACAGAACAAGAACCTGTGTCAAGCCAGGCACAGTGGCTCACACCTGTAATCCCAGCACTTTGGGAGACCAAGACAGGTGGATCACCTGAGGTCAGGAGTTCAAGACCAGTCTGACCAACATGGTGAAATCCCCATCTCTACTAAATATACAAAAATAAAAAATGTTAGCTTTGCATGGTGGCGGGGGGCACATGTAATCCCAGCTACTCAGGAGGCTGAGGCAGGAGAATCACTTGAACCTGGGAGGTGGCAGTTGCAGTGAGCTGAGATTGTGCCATTGCTCTCTAGCCTGGGCAATAAGAGCAAAAGCCCATCTCAAAAAAAAAAAAAAAGGTAGAGACACAGCAAATCCTCTCACAGCAATCCTATGAGATAGGCTTGATGATTATCCCCATTTTAAAAATGATTAACAGGCTCAGAGAGGTTAAGTCTGTCATACAAGGTCACACAGCTGTTAAGTAACAAAGACAGAATTTGAATACAGTAATCTAGCTCCAGGGCTGTGTGGGAAACCCCTGGGGTCTATAGCAAGTTCAAGAAAAAAGCATGGAGAGATAGTTGTTATTGATCTTAATGGCCCAGGAATTTGGCAATTGAAATGGTACGTAGGAGCTTGTTAGGTGTTGAAGGAGCAGAGAAGATGGTCATAGGCTCTTCCTGCTCAAGTTGCTCTGTAGGAGGAACTGGGCTAGAGAGTTCTTTCACAATAGGACCCTGGGGAGCTAGAGGAAGTTAGAAGAAAGCATAAGGATGGAATCATAGTGACTACTATAACTGAGTTTACTAAGTACTTTGTCTTCTAGCAACTTTATGAAGAAGGTTGAACCCTGACCATTAGTATGTAAGGTGCTGCTCTGGCTGGAAGAATGCCAGGCACTCTAGACTGTGGTCTTAGGCTGCATCTAAGCAGCAATCTGGGGCAGGCCACATTCTGGTCAGTTCTATGGTACCGTGTACCTGCTCCAGTAGAAATGCAGTCCATGTGCTGCTCAGTTTGGCCCAGATTGAAAGTGGCCCGGGAAGCTAGGTCCTTCATGATTTTATAGGTCTTCAAGGTCATTAAACACAGCTGACCTAAGCAGGGAAACAAATTGGGAACAGTGGGTTCGACTGCCTATGGAATTTTGTAGTTAAATCCTAGTCTTTAAAGGGGTTAGGCTTGGTTCTAATCCCAGGAAGTCTACTAAATTCTCTCTGCCACTGTTTCATCATTTGTAAAATGGGGGTAGTGATGACATTCACGCCTTTTTTTTTTGTAGGTAGTAAATGAGTTGGCATAGAATAAAGTAAGCATTCTGCTACCTGGTGCTCACTCCATAAATAGAAGAGGGTGGTGATGGTAGTGGAGGTTCACTACACGTTTTCAATCCTAGAAAATTAGGCCTAGACAAGATTTCTCAGAGGAAGTGATGTACTCTCACAGTTAGAGAACCCACATGGGGTGGTGGTGGTAGTCCGAGGGTGGTGGGGAGGAGGAGGATGGGGAAGTAAAGTGGTTTTCACCATAAAGACCAGGATGCTATCATGGATTTGAAACAGGAGCAGGTTGCTCAGAAATCCAAGGTTCTGTAATAACCTAGGGCTAGAGGTAGTAACTGGAACAGAAGACCTTCAGGTGTCCTGTGTTAGTGTTTCAGTCTTGAGCAGAAACTCAAGACCATGTCATTCTGAAGGATCTAAAGCCACCAGAAGTCATGATTTACCCCATGGTTAGGAAAAGGCAGGTGACAGATACGTGGTATGGGCAAGGAGGGCTGAGTCAAATGCTGTTTCTGGATGGGTGTTGAAGTTAACTAGGAATTATTGCTTTAAAGGACTGGATTATTGGTTTTGTAAGCAGATAAGATCAGTGACATCATCTGACTTACTTCACGTAAGAGGTTTCCTGGCAGTTAGAGATTTGGGCAAATGATTCTTCGGACTACCAAAAATAATTAGATAACTCAGAGATCAAACCACAAGATAACCAATCTTTTCTTTCTGAGCTGTTCAAGAATGACATAGTTGTTAAAAACATCAGAGGGTTTTGACTTTTCTTATATGCAGCCTTAAGAGCCAGTAACTCCTTTTTGTCAGGCAGTAACTATATTGTTATATTCTGCCATTTTTAAATATTTGGAGACAGAGTCTCACTCCGTCACCCAGGCCAGACTGCACTGTGCAGTAATAGCTCACTGTAACCTTGAACTCCTGAGGTCAAGTGATCCTCATCTCAGCCTCCCAAGTAGCTGAGACTGCAGGTGTGCACCACCACACCAGGATAATTCTTTTTTTTTTTTTGGTAGAGATAAGATCTTGCTATGTTGCCCAGGCTGGTCTCAAATTTCTGGCTTCAAGCGATCCTCCCACCTCGGCTTCTGAAAGCACTGAGCCTGAAAAATGACTAAGAATTATTTTTTAAAAAATGACTAAGCTCAGTCATTTTTTTAAAAATAATTCTATTTCTGGAATATTAGACTCAAAGGAGGCAGATGACACAAACAGCATGCTTTAGACTGAATTATGAGACCACTTTTTTCTTTTTCCTTAAATGTAGATAAATAATATTAACGAGACCACTTTAGAGAGAAATGTGGTCTTTTATTCTGTAAAGGGAAGATGTTTTAGCAAGAACCATGCTTTTTTAGCTATTCTCTCTGTCCAGAGTGCTTTTTCTTTTTGAAGAGACATTGGGGTCTTGCCATTATGTTTCCCAGGCCAGTTTTGAACTCCTGAGCTCAAGCAATCCACCCACT